AATATTACTAGGATGTAAATACCTTACCTTTTAAAGTTTACAGATTACTCAAATTCTTAAAAATATCTATATGTCTTTTATTATCCTATTTATTGAACACTTCAAATTTTGAAAAATAAACTCATTACTTGTCTAGCTTGCTCATTTTTGGCATATATTTTGTTTTTACCATTTGCTTTATACTTTATGATATTATAACAATAAAATATCCTTCTACAATAAATATTTCTTTCAGATAAAATAATACTAATTAAGATATATTAAATAATAACTCTTAGTTAAATCATTAATTGATAAACAATTAAAACGAAAATAAATTTATCTAATAAATATAAATACATGATACCAAGTAAAACATATTTCATTAATTGAATAAAATTAATTTAGACTCCTAAAACATTGGTCTAAATGAAGAATTAAATAAAGAAATCCTTTTTCAGATTTTTAGTTCAAGATCAAAAATAGATTATATATTGGGAATGTAGAATGAATTTTGGTTTGCAAAGGATGAAGATAATGTTGTTGTTTTCATAAATCTTAAAAACATAGAATCAATTATAGGTACATTAAAATAAGGTATAATCTCACAAAATCTAAATATCTTGATTCAAATGAATGAGCAAATAAATGAAGTAATTCAATAATAATTAATTTTAGCTTTGCAAATAAATATATTTTATTTAAGAATATATGCTCCAGTTTTACACTTTTTTTCAGAATAGCTTACCAATTACATCAAAAATGTCAAATATCATTAAGAAAACCATTTAGTAAAAATTATAAGCTTTTACAAATTAATTGCAAATTATTAATATATTAACCCAAATTAAATATTATATGATTTGCATGAACTTTGAAAAGCTGCAATTAAATTAAATATATTTTCCATTTTGTCTGTATGTATGTGTTTGTTTTATATTTACATCTTTTTAATGCTAAAATTATTTGAATAAAAAGTAAGTATCTTTTATATTGGATTAATTTCGAGATAATTTATTTTTTATATTTTAAAAAGGCTAAAAGTAACAGGCAGGCCTTCTAAAATTTCGCAAAAATAGCCAGAAATTTATTTAGAAATAAAATTTTAATAAATTTTTAGTGGGAAAATCTCAAATTTGAAAAAATCGAGAGCAACACTTAAAAACACTTGCTCCATTTATTTTTTTAAATTAAAATCATTTCCATAAAAAAATATCTTCATATGATAAAAACTCATAAAAATGAATAAGCTTGATTTTAAGATTAAAAAGTTATTATTTAAATTTCTCACTTATTCTTCTGAGCTTAATTCCATGTAGATTTTTTGATAAAAATATAAAATATACCGAATCTGCTTGATTCTATTTTAAAGTTTTGCCATTTATTTTAAGCTAATTTATCTGTTAAAAGATATTATTTAAAGAAAATTAATATACTTTTTATTTAAATTGAAACAATTTTATTATTAAACTAATAAATCAATTTTAATGATACTTGGGATTATTTTTTAAATTTAATATAAAAATTGGAGATAATAAAGCAAAATATAAATTTATTTTTATTTTAGATAGTTAATATCCTATTATTTATATATAGTAAATAGGGGTGTGAGATTTGATGAAATTCAAAAATGAATTCATTTATATAAATTTAAATTTTTTTTTGTCAAAAAAAATGAGTAAAAAATATTTTTTTCTGCTTATACCTAAAGTATTTAATATATATAAATATAATTTTAAAAGCTCTTTAGTAATTTATATAGTAAAAAAAAGGTAAATGGTTTGACCGATTCATTAAATTGTAAAGGTTAGATGTTAGACTCATTAACTTTAATTTATAAGTAATGATGTAATATAATAAATAAAAGAATAAATTTATAAATTTAAATAATTTCACATATTATTTTGTATTGGTAAGTTTATGAAAGAAATTATTAAGTAATATCTACAAACTAAATTTATTAATAAATTACACATTTATTTATAAAAAATTAGAGTATACTTTTTGCACTTATCAGCTTTACATGATAGGCACTTTCTTTTAATATTAAGATTTTTGAAATAGATACTCTTGAGTTCATTAACTTTTCTCTTATTAAATTAATAATTAAAATTTACATTCAATATTTTTACCTGATCAGCCTGAAAAATAAGATATTTTCTTTTACTATAAAGACTTTTGAGATATATTAGCCAGAAATTTATTTACATAATTAATAAATAGCAATAATATTGAAACTATTACAAAGAAGTATAATAATAAAATTAGATTTGTTTCAAAGTAGGGTTATGAATAAAATAATATAAAAAGTAGAATTTTTGGTATGTTTAAAGTAGAGGAAGAGCTTTTTATTTGCGTTAAATAGCTTTTTGTTTATTATTTGGTTCTCTTTTAACACATATTTAAGCTTTAGAACCAGTGATGTTATGAAATAAATTATAATTGCTCTGTAATATTCTGTGTTGGCATTTATCAATATCTATACATGGAAAAAGATAAGCTAAAATCCTTAGTTTGCTACTCTGAGACCTAAAATTTATTCCTATATTCGTTATTTGCTTTTGTTTAACTATAAAGAAGCAAGATTTGCAGATAAAACCTAAAATTATAGCTTCAAATGCTTAATTTTGATGTACAATTTTTATCAAAATTTCATAATATACACATCGATCCTTGATTATAAATCATATGCTTTTTATAAAGATGAAAATGACGAGAAAAAAGACGATGAAGATATATATTACTGGTTTGTTATCTGTTCTATTGTTTACTAAAGTTATTAATCTTACATGATTATTCATAATATATCTAATAATTCCAGATATAGATTTGCGAAGTTGAAGAATATTTTAGTTTTTGGATATATTTTTTGCTCCATATATACAATGTATATCTCTGAGCAGTTTATTAGCAATAAAGACTTGCACTTAAACTTAATTATTCTTACAATTTTAATAAACTTTATTTCTTTTTGGATAGCATTTAACAAGCCTATTGAAACAACTGTTTTTAGTATGTGGATGAGGATATTACTTAAAGGATGTATGTTACTCCTACTATTTACAACTAACTAAGAAATTTAAATTAATCCGATCTATAATAACATTTTAAGTGAGTATTTTTAATATGTAAACACATTACCATTTAAAATATATAGGTTATTAAAATTCTTAAAAATATCAATTCTACTTTTTTTATCATATTATTTATATGCTAATGACTTCTAATAATAAAATCCTTACATTTCTAGCTTGTGCATTTTTGGAATATATCTTTTTCTGACCTTTTTATTTATTATTCATGATGGCTTAACTCTGATCTTTCCTGTTACTTAAGATATTTAAATTACAAAACCAAACGAAATTGGTATTTAAAATGAAGACACTTAAGGCCTATAAGATAGATTAGTTATAAATGAGGAATAAAATAGTTTCGTTTTTTTTTCATAATAACCAAATAATATTTAGAAATAGAGTATATTCCATCAACTTGATAAAATTAACTATGGTTCTTTAGATTCAGTGAAAAAAAATTAGTTAACTAAAGAAACCCTACTAAGAGTGTTTGATCAAAAGTCAAATATTGATTTTGTTATTGGAGAAAACAATGATTTTTGGTTTGCTAAAGATAAAAATAATTTAGTTATTTTAATAAAATATTCTAACTTTGAATCTATCATAGATATGTTAAAATAAGGACTATTCACACAATAACGAAGATTGCTATTAGGGATTAATGAATAATTAGACATTACAAAATAGTAAATGATTATCTAGGCATTACAAATAAATATATTTTATTTAAGCGTATTTACTGCTACCACTAACTTCTTTTCTAAAGAGCTTATTGATTATGTGAAAAATTTTAAATATAACAAGTAGAATACTTTTTTAAAAATTATTAGCTTTAAAAAATATCTAGCAAATTTCTAATTAGTCAATCCAAAATTATTAATTTATGATTTATATGATTAATGAAAATTTGTTTATTAATAAAGTTTATTTTTTAATTATATTTGTGTTTTGTCATTAATATTAAAAATAAGTAAGTGTTATTATTTTTTGCTCAAGTCTTATTTTTAATATTTTCATTAGATTAAATAGATATGATGAATACAATTTAGTAAAATACTAAATCTATTTCTATCTTATATAAAAACCTATCAAAAATGTTTTAAATAAGGATTAAAATATTAATATTTCAGAAATTAATATTTTAAAAAGTTAACTAATAAAATTATTTGAAAGAAAATTGAAATAAATATTTAAAACTTTTACTTCTTATAAGTTTTAAAAAAAGATTATTAATAATAATTTAAGCTCTAATTTATTGTTACTATTTTCATTAAATGGCAAAACTTTTTTAAATTTAATGAAATTTAATTTACTATTATTCTTCGAATAAAAATAAAAATAATTCAGATATATAATTAAATTTAAAAAATATTTTCTAAAAAAAAATTAACAGTAATCCTGATAAATTCAAAAATAAATTTAGATAGTATTTTCTAAAAATTTACAAACTAAACATTAAATTTACTTTAAGTTTTGCCAAGATTTTGTTGAAAATTTATGAAATTGTACAATATATAAATTTATTTTTTATGTCCTTTTATACGTATATAAAAATAATAAGTCTAATTCAAATAAAAAAATCTTTGAAATGTTGATCTCATGATATTTAGTCAAAAAACTAAAATTTAGCTTTAATTTAAATTAATTTTATTAGTTTTGACTTTTAAATAAATTTATATATTGATTTATTTTTACAAGTTAGAAGAAGTGTAAAGAGGTAAAACAAAATATAAATACATCTAAATAAAATAAATTATTTAAAAATATATGTTTGCCTTTTTTAAATGTTTAAATTTTAACTAATAATTAAGACGTTTATCATCTCATTTTTAAAATATGAGTTGCATTTCCTTAAATATTTACTAAATTCGAAATATATCGAACCTATATGATTATATAGATCTAATTTCTTATATTTTATTTTTTGAAATTCAAATGTGTGTAATATCAAACGCTAGGTCCCTTTTAAGCTATATTATTAATTGTATTCTTGACTGCATCGCTTCCTATTTAATATGTTGATTTATTTGTTTTTTTAATTTAAGTATCATTTAAATATAAATCTCATTACTGAAGTATTTGCCAATAATAGGAATTCTACAAATTGGATCATAAAGTAGTGGCAAGAAGGTTTTAAATAAAAGGAATAGTCCGTACATTTAAATACAAAATCCAATAAATGAGAATCCAAACACAATTATAGCAAAACCACCAAAATACACTAGAGAACCTTTGAAATTGGCTTTTGTTAAAATAATCAGGTTAGATTTTGTTTTTCAATTAACAATTAAATTTTTATACTTTTTTTACTAAAGAAGGCTATAGTTTATTTCAAACCTATGAACATGTACATACCTATTAAGAAACTTAGCTATTTAATTAAGTAATAATAAGTTTATCCATTTATAATCTTGTTTTTTATAATTATTTTTACATTTGCAATGAGGAAAAGTGCTCTATCAAAGAATAAAATGATTCCTAAAAGATAGCAAGATAGACCTAAAATCACAAGACCTAAGCCTATTTCTAAATTTTACAACAAAATATGTTAAATTTAGCTTTGTGCATGAAAAATTTATATTGTTGACGGCAAATTAAAAATGAATTATACTTTTATTATCGTCCATAGATAGTAATTACATTGCTAATATTAAGATTTTTTATACCTAACTTTAAATAAACTAAATATTTCCTTTTGATTTTATATGTTAAAATTTTTTTTTTCTGTTTAATTTAATAATTGAATGAGCACACTGCTTTTTATTGCTCTTTTATTGTCCAATTCCAAAAAAGTTTGTTAAATATATAAGAAGGTGGACACTTAATGTAATTAGTTGAATGAATGAATAGTAAATATATTGAGCTGGATAATATAAATTACTTTATCGCTTATGTAAAAACCAATAATTAAGTTTTATTAGTTAAGTTATTGCAAATTTATAAATTTTTCAACTAATATCATTTTTGATATTTAGATAGATAAACACGTAAATATTTATTAATTTTAAATCTTTGTTTTTCTGATATTTTTAAATTCATACATAAGATAGATTTTTAAAGAAATAGATTGTAAACTTAATTTCATTATTTCTACGTGCTTATTTTTAATCAAATAAGTAATTAATTTGTAGTTATTAAAATGAATATTCTATCTTATTAAAATCTGTAAAATGTTAAAATTATAAAATTTGATAATCATAAATAATATTTATTTTTTAAATTAAATGAGCTAAAAACCAAATAAATATAAAAATTAATTACATTATTTTTTTAAATTTTATTTAATTTAATTTTAAGAATCTTTGAATGATTAACAACAAATAAATAAATAAATAAGTACATTGTTTTTAGGAGAGAGTTAAAATAATTTCAAAATTTAACAAAAGTTTAATTTAAAAAACCTTTACGATTACTGCTTTTACTTCTGTTTTATTGTTAAAAAAAGGGTCTTTTATTGTTTGAGTAATCTATTTAGACATTATAGTTGAGCTATGGAGATGGATATCTCTAATTATTATTGATATAATATCTTTAAATTTGATGATCTACAGATAACTTTTTTGAAAAGGATTTATTAGGAGAATAAGTATTATGCTGTTTTTATTTCTTCTCACTAAGAGAAAATAGGGTTTTTTATTTATTATCTCTTGATGTTGATCTTTAAATAGTAGGAAATTTAGTCTTTGTCTATAAATCCATTTACTTCTAAATATAAGTTTCTATACTTTCTTTTGCTTTACAATCACTTGTTGTATAGTTTATTTAGCTAATTACAGTATTTTAGCTTTAATGCTCTCTCTTTGATTAATTATTTTCAAAATAATTATAAAGCTTTTTGACTTAATCATTTGGATTTAAGTCTGTGCTGTCATTCAATCTTAGAGACTATTAAGAGGAATTTATTAGATGTCTTAAAAACTAGTTTTCAACAAAATTAGTCGAACCATTTTATTAAGCATTCTCATTACTACTTTTTATATAATTTTATTCATCAATTTTTATATTCTTTTGTTATTCCATGTTAAAAATTGTATCACCAAATTAATTTATTAAAAGATTATTTTGATTTCCTTTATTGTTAAAGCCATCATACTAACTTTAATTCATTCTTTCAGGAGATTCTATTGAGTGAAAATTACTCTAATTATTAGATTACCTTTTTCTCATTTTTTCTCTCGATTACCTAATTTCCTATGACCTTAATCTATCTCTTTCTTTTTCCAATTACAATTAATGTTGAATCATTTATTGTTCTGCACTTTACTTTTCAGCAGAAAATTTTAATAATTTTTCATCTATGTATAAATTATGTATTCTCTTATCAAAATCATTTTAAAATAAGCTAATTTTATAATCACTTAGTCCTTACTCAATAGAGTTATTTTAGTTTCTAACTTTGTATTTTTGCAGCTGCTAAGAAACTACATATTCCCATTAAAACTGCTACTTACTAATTGAGTCAATTTGTTCTTCCAGTCTTTTTTTATTTTACTCTTTAGCATTTATCATATCTTATTTAGCCATTTAATCCTCTTCACAACTTATCATTCTTTAATTCTTCCATTCGTTAATAGTTTACAATTTCATTTTCTTTTCATATAATCTTGGAGTGTACCTCATATCAACCATCCAATAAGGAGCTTTGCTTTCAGATTCATACACCAATTCATTTACATCTCTAAATTTATAATCATATTTTTTCTTTTTTTTAATCATCCCACCTCCACCGCTTTTTATTTATATTTCATCAACTCCATATTCTTTCAAATTATCAAAAGTCTTTCCTCTCTCTTACTATTCTGCTTAATCTTGTATCATAATTTCCTTTTAAGGAGATTGATTTAAAGATCTATTTGCATAATTTTATTTATTTATATAATTTTATTGTTTATACTATTAGCCATTTTCTTGATTGATTTTGTAATAATCAGTCTGCTTAATTTATTCATTTTAATATTCATCTTATTAATATTAATTTTGCTAATCAATAGATTCTTTAAAATTAAAGTCCTAGTTTTTTATATCAACTTCATTATATTCAGGATTTTAACTGTTTTGAAACTCTATAATGTCTTTCACCAAATAAGATTTATCTTAGACTACTTTTTTTGAAGAAATACTGAATAAAGAATTTTATTAAATTCCTACAAGAGAATTATTTTAAAAATCTGTATCACCAGGATCTGTAGAGTAATAAATTTATGAGTTTGTATTCGGAATTTAAAAGCTCTTTTTTTAGGATAATATCTTAGGCCTTGTCCCTTTTGGTATGAATTATTATTATTCTTCCTTAATACCTAATTATGATTTGTTTCCTTGTAATAAAAATTGTACATTATTGCTTAACTACTGTGGTATTTCTGTATTAGTTTATTATTGATTTTATAACTAAAGATTGATATTTAGATTATGTTTGTTTTATCTGAGATAACTTTATTGCTTTTACAATCTAATTAGCTTATTGATTTCCTCTTTGTAATCAATGCTCATATTTATGAGAAAAAAGTAATAGCTTTAGTCGAAAGATTAAAAATATACAAAAAATGGTGTAAAAAATAGTCTAGATTGATGAAAATTTGGAATTTTAGATTTTGATTAATCAAATTAAATTGTTTGGAGATTAATCAAATATAAAAGTTATTTTAATATTTAATTATATCTTAATGTTTGTTAGATTTTCAGATTGAAAGTGTAATTGAATTTTGTCTGCCAATTTATTAAAAAAAAGACCACAAAATATTAGAATTTGTAGAGTTACAGTTATTTATTTTTCGAAAAACTTATTTACAGAATTGCACTTAAATATCTTAATATTTTTAAATAAAAGACCATAGTGTTACAATTGCTAAAAAATATTTGAATAACATTTAAAGAAGTTTTTATAAATTACTAATAATTAATTTTTTTAATAAAATAAATTTAAAAAAATAGTTGAATAACTTGAAATTAATTTTAATTTTATCAATCAAAGTAAAATAAAACATAATATCTATACATATATATATATAATAAAAATAGTTAACCTAATATTTTTTATTGAACAAAAACATCTACTGAAAAAAATTGAATTTTTAAATTATAAATTTCACTTGAAAATAATTTCTTTTTATAAATCAGAATCTTTTATACTTTGACTTAAAATACTTTATTTAGGTGAAAAACTATAAATCAAAGTTTTCTTAGGATCTTTTTCTTCTGTATTCTAAGAGTATTCTGTATATTCTAAATTGTCTGTATCTTAATCGTATACTTAATTTTATAGTTTCAGCAATCTAAAATTAGATGCCTTTTATAAACTATTTTCGATTACTATATCTGTCTTTAAATTAAATTTTCTTTACAGTTGAAATTTTGTTGATTCATCTATTATTAAAATAATATAAATTAAGATTAAATTATAAATAAAATTAAATTCTTACTCTAAGATAATTAAGAACTTGGAGAAAACTAAGAACTTGGTGATAACTAAAGTAAGTGTTTTGATGTTGTTATTTAGAGTATATTTTGTTAAGCTTTACTTTCAATTATTTTAGAAATATTTTTGAAAACAAATTTCCATCGAAGGTAAGTTTTAAAACTTATTCCTTATTTTAATAATTGTATATATATTTTTTAAGGTAAGAGTAGCTTTAATATTATTCTTGATAATTTACTAACGATTGTACTTTAATTATTAGCTTTGAAAATGATAACTATTATACTGCAGTAAATGAAAAAAAAGAAATCGATAGCAACTATTAATACTTCTATTGCTATTTAACTATTTTAGTTATCAAATTAAATTAAAGATAAGTAAATTTTAAAACTGATTAAAAAACAAGCTAATGTTTCACTAAAGAGCATTTTTTTAGATATAAAAGGGTCAATCAACTTGACCGTATATATGTACAGAGCAATCAAAATCAAAGAAGAGCTGGCAGATATAATTTAATAATCTTACTAAAGAAGAGTTTAAATATAGATCAGTGTTATTTTCAAGTATATTCTAACAAATTCCCAATAATAAAATTCATTTTTTAATTCAATGTAATAATAACCATAATTGTATTTAGTTTTACAATAATTAAGATGGTCTTTTCTTTTCTTCAGTTTCAGCAATAAAATTAAAGGTAAAATGCTCCAGAAAGATAAGATAATAATAGAATAAGGAAATATAAATTTTATTAAATCTCTGTCATTACAATTCTTTGTTAAATCATATGGATTAAATTATTCGTTACCTATGGATTAGCAAGTCAAAGATTTACTAAAATAAGATATTTGACTTATCTAAAAATAAGCCAAAAATATGTGGAAGAAAGTAAAGTAATAGCAATTTTTTATGATTTTTTTAAATTTAAATTAAAGTAATTTAATTATCAATAAAATCATAATGAACAAAATCAAAGGAATAAAGAACTAAACTAAAGAATAAAATACAATTTTTCCATAATATCTTATAAGGCCTGAATCTACCATACAATCTATTCCAAGGCTTAACTATCTATTTGCTTATCCAAAAATGTTATTTAAGAAATTTATGTTTACACCTAATATTAATGGTTAAGGTATCAAAAGTGAAGATAATTAGTAATAATTTATAATTATTTTTAGATAGAACCCAGATTAATCTTAAAGAGAGTTCTTTGAGATCGGTAAAAGCTAAATGATCCTTAAGTAATAGCATATTTAAGAATATTTAAACTATTTCATAAAAATAAATGTTGTGTATAAAAAATATATTATCAAACCTAAAAATTTTAGCACAAGATATACCCACTAAATTTATATTTCATAGCATTCTTAGCATATACCTTTTGCAAATGCCTCAGAGAAGCGGTTACCACTCCAAATTTCTCCTAAAGTATCACATTCTTGGCATAATGGTCCTATATACCCAACAGAGCAGTAGTTTATGCTTTCAGGATTTTCTGCTTGGCAAGATCCAACATTAGAATTACATTATAAAATCTCATCTGTAAAATTATTTTTTCTCCAATACCCATTTTTAAGCTAAATACTTGAACCTTGACATTTGATTGCTGATAAAGGACAAGAACTACATTCATTTTTCTAACCTGATTAATTATTTTATTCAGACAACAATAAAGATTGTGGATCAGCTAATTAATAAGTCCCTTCAGAGCACTACTTACAAGTATTAATTTTTTAAGTTTGTTATTGGATAATTTCTCCTATTTCGCATTTTCTAAAATTAATTATTAGCAAAATGGATTACTGTTATTGTGATTGTAAGTAAATGCTTGAATCAATTTATAAATATTATTCTGTCTATAATACTCCTTATATTTGTAATCCTGTTAGTTAGAATGCTTAACTACTACTATTATATTAATTGTAGTTTAATATCTTTTCTCCAATCAGTTAAGTTTATGTTGTATCAAAGTTATTGATTGAAATTTATATACTTTTTAGTTCATTTTCAATATCAAGAGGGTATTCTTAATTCAATAATTTTTATAATTTAAATGAAAGTTATCGCTTGTAATTATCAATGATATAGATTTTCAAGTCTAGTTAGCCGCCACTTTAAAAATTATTAACTTGAGCAATTGATTAAAATTAAAATGTGAAGTGATTAGTGGAATAATACGATTTATTCTAAATATAATTTAATTCATAATTATTAAAACTCTAAATTTAATCATTCTATATTAAAATTTATTATAGATAACTAGCAGAATTATCACCATACAACTCTGCAGTATTATTTATAGCATTTTAATAAAAAGGGTATTTAATAGGCAATTAAATATTATTATCAGTTGATACTATTCTTAAACCTCCACCTATTAAGGCTCTATTTCTTATTATTAAGGTAGATTAATCAAAGTTAACTGAGCAATTTGCAATATTTTAGAAATATAAAGCTCCACCGCTACTAAGCGCAGTATTTCCTTCAAACCTAGTCTAAGAAATTTCTATTAAGTATTGTATATTTTAGAAATAAATAGCTCCACCATTTTAGGATATATTGTTTTCAAATGTGCTTTGATAAATATACACATATTAAGATTAAGTTATTGAGAAGCAACCTTGGTTACTTTTATAGTTAATATTTTTTTTTGTGATGATTGAATTTTAAATGTAGAAAAGGTTATTATTTTGTATTTAATTAGATATAATATAGCTATCTAATATCTAAATTTCGTCATTATAAAGTACTGTAAGTATATTGTCAACAACACATTGATTTTTTGATTAAACTAATTAGATATTTAGATTAGAACTGAAGTATAAATTATTCAATAGCAAATATTAGCATCCAAAGAAATTTAAAGCTGATGATGCATCATTAATAGTTATTTCTTAATTTAATTATCTTTAATTATTTTATTATTATTAGTTATTCTATTTATTTTAATTAGCTGTAATGTTAATATTTGATATTGTTATGTTGTTAACTTTAGTGAAAGTAAAAAATTAACTCAAATTAGTATTGTTTTGAATTTGAACTTTGTCAATAAGAATAGTTTGTATACTTGAGAAATTAAAAATGTTCATTGAAAAATTTTACTCAAAATTGTTTGATGATATTTCTAAATTATATATGTACACTCGAGAAATATTCATAAATTTCAAAAGGTTTTATTATTGCTAATCATTTGATTAACTGCATATTTTTAATTATGAAATTTTCAGGAAATTAATAATAACTTGAGTCACATTTTATATTAATATCTGTGAATTATCTATGCATTAATTAGATATACTTACATTCTGCAATTAAATTTATTAAGTATTCTAATTAAAAGTAGTTATTACTCCATATGTAGAGTTTATAAACTAAAAATCATAATCATTTATTTAAAAAACTGGTTTTTAATATGATTAGAATGTATTGTTAGAAATTGAGAGGTTTCTAGTATTATCATCAGCTGAATGTAAAATGAATTAAGAATTGACTTAATTACTCTAAGAAATAAATTAATTAATATTACTAAACTAGTTATCACTGATTTGTAAATATATTAAATTTGTCCATTATTATTAGTTTTAGGTAGATTAACCTGTTTACGTATTAATTAAAGTTTGTTTTGGTTAAATATTGCTAATTTTTTACTTTATCTCTTAAATATCATTTCCTGAAATAGAAATAGAGCATCTAGATATAGAATTATCTTAATATATATTTAGACTATAATTATTTTCAAAAACTCCAGTTTAATGTAAACCATAGATTTTTAAAAAACCATTTTATTATAAAATATATCCTAAAAGTCGAGGATAATTATACTATTATTATGATATAAGGATGTTTGTATTATCTTATATTAAAAACACTTCATACTTGTATATGAAAAATATTATTATAACATTTTTATTAGCTAGTATATAATCTGTTATTTAGTCATGTTAGTAATCTTTTTTAATTACTGTTAATAATTTAATGTCCTCTAAAAGAGAGTAAATATTTACTTAAAATTAACTGGAAATAATTATGAAATCTTGTATTAGTTTAATTTTGTTACCTTAATAACTGGGTAATGGTAAATATTGTTCTTATTTATTAGAAGAAGTGTTCCAAACATAACCCCATTTTTATCCACTAAAAAAAAAGAAATACCTTTAAAAAGTATTATCAAAATTAAAACCTACTAATTAGTATTGAGTTTATTCAGTTACTAATGTTATGAGATTTACTTATTCTAAAATTAATTAATTTTAAGTATCAATTTTAAGAACAATTCCACCATTCGTAACAAATAATCCAACTTATTTAACATCATCTAGTATAATCGTTATTATTTAAGTATATACTTAATTTTAATTTAAAATACTATAATATTTATAACTCTGCACATTTAAGTCATATTGTAAAACTTAGCCATTACTTAGCCCTACAAATATTAAATCAAGATTTAAATTTTATTTATGTTAAGTAACAATTACTGATTAATCCAATTAGATCATTTTTAAAATCTTAGCTTTTTAAATGTCGTAATGAATTATTTATTTTTCATAAGTTAAATACACATTTTATGATAAAAATTTATGAAATCCAATTTGTTAAATAGAAAAAATGCTTGGTGAAGATAAATCTTTATTAGAACTTTCATATTGATAATAAAATAATATAGAATCTTTCAAAGCTATTATTAGGGTATCTTCAACAATACTGTATGTTAAATCCACAATTTAAGAACTATTTAATTTACTGACAAAGTTGATATTAAATTTAGAGTATCTAAATATGGTATTATCATTATTAAAAAACTAGAATTCTATCGTTTAATTGTCAATTGGAATGGTAGCAAATAAATTAGCTGGCTCAGATATCTAAGATTCATACTCATATGCATATAAGAAATTATCTATGTAATAAATAGAATTAGTGCTATAGACATACATATCATTAGTAATGTTATTAAAGAAATAACTCACAAGTTATTCATTTCCATCATAAATTTCAGTAATTTTAAAATTTGTTTTTATTTAAATACTTTATTCAAAATGATATAAATAAATATTACCTTATTAATCTAAATAAAAAATTATACCAGCATTGTAATCGAAATCCATTTTTAAAACTAGTCCTTATAGATTCTAAGAAAATGGATTATTAATATTTTATATATTTTTCATTGTTAACGTATCATATATATATATCTAAGCAAAAAAATTATTTACACAATACAATGCTACTTACTGTAAATATTCAATATAAATAAAATTTACTATGCTTATAGACTATGGTCCTATGTAATTCTAGTATGGCTATTGGGTTATTCTGTCAATAAAATAAATATCTATTTAAAAAAAAAATAAGTAATTAAAAATTTTAAATTTAAGAAATCTTACAATTAATAGATTGAAATAAAATAGCAGTTGAATATAAACTGCAGCTTGTAAAATTTGTATTAAAATTATATTTTGTGCTGTAAGAACCACTATAGCTGTATATCTATATTAATTCTGCAAATAAGAAAATGGATTCATTTTGATTATCTAGACATATTTAGTATAAATTTTAAAATCCATTTACATTTACTGTCTGTTTAGAAATTTAATTGATACTTTTATTGATTATGGCTAGGTTATTTTTATTTATGCTACAAACAATTATTTTTTTTGTACCCTTGCAATATTAGTATGAAATATTAGGTTATTATTCAAAAATAGTTTATAAAAGATTTAATTAAAAATCAAACTAAAGAATACTACTTCCATAGATATAAAATTTGTTATATGTAGCATCATAAATCCATCCATTAATTTAATTCATACCATTGTAATAATATTTCTTGGATTGCATCTATTTATATACTACAAAAAGAAGCTCTTAATTATTCCAACAAACTAGGTTCTGATTATCATAGGTTAACTTAAATTGAGTAAATGGTCTGTCAGTCCATAGTTTTGGATTTAATTACTCTATGAATTGATTATTAAAAGCATAAAAAGATGTAATTTATTGACTAGTTCGTACGAAATACATACCAATTTATGCACTGTGTATTATTTCTTGTATTTGGTCATTATTGGATTTTAGAATTTTTTCAGTTGAGAGTTTTTAATATCTACTTTTTGAATTCTTACTACTGAAAATTAACCCAGATTTAGTTCCAAAATAGTTAACTTAATTTAATTTTTATCCCACTGCATCTTTTATATAAGTAACTCCATAATCTTGATATAAATATTCATGCCCACTTACATAGGTAATATTTCTTTAAATATCTATCTCATACTCTTTAAGTAAAGTATTTAATTAATTAACTAAGGCTCTCTTAACTTTATAAAATGTATATCCATAACTATTAATTGCTTTTTAAGGTTCCTCCAATTAAGGAAAATATACATTACTTATACCAAACATAAATGGTTTATTATATTATTTAGAAATCAAAAAGGTAGTATAGAAACCTTACTAAATTGCATAACCTGCTAAAAAATAAACTAATTAGTCGTTAACAACTCTTTTTGCTATAATTGCTGCTTTTAATTAAATATTATTCACAACATGGACTAAATTAAGTGATGAATTATAAATCCAGAAACTTCTTTAATTATCAAAAATAACAATCTCATCTACAAAATAGTTGTTAATAATAATGTTTTAGTCAGAAGTATAGTTAAGTATAAAGTTAATATATTAAATTGTACTTACAGTAGAAATAGTTGATAATAAAATTGGTTATTATTGATTTAGATCTATTTAGTAAACAGATATTTGTTGAGATTTCTAAATTATTAATTATAGGTTATTACTTAAAGACATATTAAAATTATTACTTGAAAATTCATTCTAGCACTATAAAAATAAACTAACTAGTTAGGAAGAAAATATTTAAATGCAATTATTATAATTTATTGCTAATTTATCATAATTTGTAACTATTTGAACAATATTTGTTAAATTAGTCAGTTAGTTTAATGTTATTTATGAAACTGGATCGATGAGGTATATCGATTAATTCATTAAGGCAATAATTTTATTATCATAAAATCTCTCTAGTTGCAAGCATTACTAGTTATTATAATTTTTTTTTACAATAAGGTCTATTTATATTCCTTTTGAAGAATCATAGAAAATTATATCTCCATTTTAATGACAAGAAATAAGAATTTAAGGGGTATAGATTTATACCATAGAAACAACCTTACTTGTAGGTGTAGGAAAAGGTAGAGAAAAATTTTCTATTAGAGCCATTTCTAATTATTACAATTAAGATATACTTTTCTGAATTACTATTATGGATAAAGGAGTAAAAAAAACAATCTGAAAAGATTAAGATTGCGTTAAAGTTGAATTATCTTGATTTATTAATATTGTTTTTAATTATTATTAAGGAGAGTCTAGTTATATTACTTATTCTAAGCTCGTATAACCATTAGTATTATTATTAAAGTTAAATAAATTTAAATATTAGTTATTATTTAAAGCAATCAGCTAATTATTAATTCCTGAGAAGTTTCCAATTTCAAAGTCTTAAATTTGAATTTGATTGTTATTTATGATAATGTTTGTTTTTTTTAAATTTTAGCTATAATCAAAAAGCTAATTATTTGAGAGAATTATTAAATGTACATCATTTGAGTTGTCTTATGATTAAATAATTTTTACCTTTTTAATTTATTATTATTATAAAACTAAAGAAGATTATTATCCAATAATATCTAATTAGATAATAGAATTATTTAACACAATTAAATAACTGCTATCTTGCGTAATTTAAATTATTTATAAAACAGGATCTTGATTTTATAATTTACAGCTAAATAAGTATTTTTGACTTAAAATATTTTACTCATTTTGAAAACTTAATTAAAAGATGAGCAAATTTGCCTATTCTTGAATGAAAAAATAACAATCAACTATTAATATTAATTAACCAGCTTAATTTATTTAAATTAAGTTAGATTGTTGTTATTTTTACTAATTTAAATTGTAAATTATTTAAAAGCTGCAATTTTATTCTTCAAAATTATATATTGCCATATACTGATTAAGATAAACAATAGATTAAATTTATTAACTGTTCCAGAATTTTTCAAGGCTAGAGCAAATTATCAGTCTATTTTCGTTTATTATATCCCAAATGATGATTTAGTAAGTTTAAGTTATGACAAAGACAAATCCATTCATGTTAAAAACCTTTAAATCTCCTTAAATATAATTTAAGTTCTTGATAAGATATAATCCATCAATATTGTAAAGAGATAGGTATCCAATTTAAAGAGCAACATAATACGTTTTTTAGAAAATAAAAAAATCTAAAGGAGTTCCAATACTTTGAATGTTAAATTGTGTAGAGTAGGATGAAGAGCATTGAATTTATTCTTAACATGTATTTGTTGCGTAGTCTATATCATAAAGAGGTTTACAGATAGAGAGGCAATTACCAAAAGAACTATTATCTTATTAATCATCAACTTAAAAGAATTGATTTGGTTTACATTATTAATATTGGCAAATATTGTTTGTTAATGTGTATCCTTGTAAGCATTGCAAACAAGTATTCTATGTTAGGTTTGAAAAACAATCTTAGCATCCATTACCGCAAAGGGAACTAGCTATTCCAACTTTGATTATTACTTAAATTATAAGCAAAACGATAAAATTATTGTTTACAGTTTTCATCTGATTAATTTTTTGTATTTGATTATTAAGGCAAATCACTTAACAAAAATATAAGCTAAGCTAACTTTTTGTTCACAAATTTAGAATAAAATGAATTCTTAAACAAACTAAGAGATTTATATTTTTTCTTTTGATAATTAAATTTCTTTCAATTTATTATTGGTTATATATCAAATTGAATTCTGAATCTATACCTTTGAATTTGAGATGCAATTGTTTCGTACTTTTGTTTAATTAAAAAATTCAAATGAGCCAGCTTTTTTAGAAAAAAAAAATTATGTTAAAATTGTGTTATAAATAAAAGTACCAATATGTTTTTAAATGCTGTAAATTAGTAAATTGATTTAGTATATACTCCTTTTATCAAATAGACTTAAATGTTTTGATATTTAAAATGATATTTTAGTAAAGAATAAAATAAAAATAATATTAAATGTTAAATACTTAAAAAACTAAATAAATTGTTGATTAAGTATATTGTTTAATATTTTCGCTTGTTATTTTTAAGTTTTAAATATTAAAAAGCAAGCAAATTAAAAAAGTAATTATTGATCTTTTAAAATTCAAATAGATAAGAAAATAAATTCTATTTGAATCTATTTTATTATTATTTAAATGAATATTTATTTTGTTTGAATAATTAGAACCAAAAAACAAAATGTAAAAATGATACTCTTATAAATATATAATTAAAATGATTCTAGAACAGATTTTAGATTATTATTCTATCTATCCATTTTTATTTGAATTTAATTAAATGCTTCTTACATTGTATTTAAATAAAATTTTTTATTACTTTAAATGCTTTACTATCTCATTTTGACGAAATAAAATAAAATTGAAAAAAGATTTTCAAAATAAATCTTAATTAAATATCTATATAAGAAAAATGTAAGATTTTACTTGTTATTTTTAAGTTTTAAATATTCTTTTCTTAATAAAATATAAAAGCAAGCAAATTAAAAAGTAACTATTGATAATTTAAATTCAAATATATAGAAAAATAAGTTATATTTGAACTTGTTTAGTTGTAAAATAAATTAAGCACTTATGCATTTAAAAAGTTATTATCGCCACGTCTTATTTTCAAAAATAAATTTTTGCTAAGGATCTATTCACTTTCATTTGAATTTAATTAGAAGCATCTTATATTATATTTAAATACATTTTTTTATTACTTTTAATACTTTATAACTGATTATGATGAAGAAAAATAAAATTAAAAAAAATTTTCTATTAAGCCCTCAAACGACTCACTATTTTACAAAATATTTTGTATATAAATTTATAATATTAATTTAAATTGAATTGTTATCCTCAATACAATCTTATCGAAAAATTTGATAGAAGCTAGGTAAGATAAGAATTTGATTTGAATCTATTTTTAATTAAAATTTCAAAGAAATGCCTTAAATAATATTTACAAATAGTGCTTCTTAAAAAATTGCTATTTAAATTATTATTTATAAGATTTAAAAATACTGTCTAAAACAAAAATTTTTAGATGTACACTTTAAAAAAGCATTGTTTTTTATTCTTTATAAATTAAGTATCAAATAGGTTTTATTAAAATCCCATATCTTTTCTATTTAAATTAAACATTAGTTTAATTCTATTTGCATCTAAGATTTTTTAATTATTATGAAATAAATACAGTTAATAAATGGCACTCTTTTATAGCTGTTATTTGAGTTAATTTTTTTAAAATTTTTAATGAAACAAATTAAAAAAAGGTTTTTTTGATTAATATTTAATTTACATAAAATATTAATAATATTTTATTAAAGCTTTTTTCATTTGAATTTAAATGAATACTTTTTTTTTATCTAAATCAAAATGCTTACAACAAAAATTATAATCCTTCTGACTTTGATAAGCCAAAAGTTTAAAATTATATTCTTTTAATTTTAAATTAATAATAAAACAAAATATTTATTTAACAAAATTCGGTTCTTGAGGAAGATTTTTTAAAACATAAAATATTTTACTTTAAATATTTTTTTTAATTATATATAAAATAAAAAAAATGGAAATAAAAATCTATCTATTTTTATCTTGAAAAAGTATAGAAAAATAGTAATATTCAATATAAACAATTCAAATTGAAGTAAGTAAATTTCTAATTACTTACACATAATATGTTGTTATTAAAAGTAAATTTTTCAACTTTTAGAATTCATAAATTAAATTTAGCCAAATTAAAAATTATAAAAATTTTATTATTATTTTGAAAAATAAATAAAACTAGAAATAAGAATTAATTATATACTTTCTTTAATTTATTATGTTAAGTAAATTTAAGTCAAGATTTTCTATTTTGAAATATTTTAGAGTACTTTATATTACTTCCTTGAGATATTTCGCTAAGACTATCATTAAAAATAAATTTCTCTTTGTATTCGTTAGCTGTTTAATATTTTTTATTTTTATCAATATCTAATTAATCTATTAGCTTTTCTAGTTCTAAGATATTTCTTTGTTTCTTTTCTTTATTGAATTCTCCGAATATTGTCCTTCTGTTGTTACTTGTTGTGCTAATATCGAACTAGGAGCTTTACTTTAGCATATTAGATCTAATTATAGTAGTTGATCTGGCGGAAATATAACTTTAATAATCCTTTCTCTAACAATAACTTGGTAAATAATATTAACCTTGTAAATCTGTTGCTTTTTAATCATTTTTTAAAGGTAAATCTTACAGATCAATTGTTAAAGTCTCTTTTTCATTATCAGATGCCATTCTTGCTAGTTCTCTCTAATAGATTGAAACACTTTAAATAATAATTTTCTCTTATTATGGTTTTTTAATTTAACTCACTCCAACTTAGAAAGGTAATTGAGATTCTTTGATGTCTTCTAAGCTACTCTTTCTAAAATTATTTTTTTTATCCATTACTGGATTTATTACATTTAGGTTTGAATTCCAATCAGGCAGTTAAATTGTATTTTAATTGTTGTATTGTATATTCTAAGATGTTTTTTCATTTTGGTTTACATTTATATTACTATTAAAAAATATATTTAGACTTGTTTTATTAACTGGAGCACTTTATAAATTATTGAAAGTTTTTGAATATTATTACTGTTTCACTTAGCTGCTCATAGCTCCTTTTAAAAGTTTTTATGTTTACAAGAGCTCTTACTCTTAATTTAATTTCTATGACAAGATATTCTGCTCATTATCTTAAAATTATTAGAGAATTTAAGTGGGATCTTTGTAGCCAGTTTTAGCTTTCATTTAGAATATCCACACATGGGCTAAAATCCCTTAAATAGATATTCTTTTTTCAGGCACGTAAATGAGTATTTAACTAATTAAATCTATAGCAGAAGGGGAAATATGGCTATCAAAAACGATGTGGCCTTAATTAATTGTATTCTTATAATATTCCATTCTTTCGTCTTCTCCGAGTTCAAAATTTGGCTTAAAAGGAGTCCTGCCATGCAAAAGCTCATATAAAAGAATACCCAATTACCATATATCTATCTTATAATCGTAATCTCTTTCAGTAATAGTTTCGGGTGCCATATACTTTTAATATATAAACCTTAATTAATATTAGATATTAATAATAAATAAATACTTCAAAAGTACCACAGAGAGTATTCCTTCTATTTTTGGTTATCTCTGCACACCATCCGAAATCACATAGTTTGATATTATCATTCTCATCTAGCAAAAGGTTTTCTGGCTATTTATGATTTATTAATACATATTTAGAAAATTATATTTTTTAAATATAAAAATTAATTAATTTTTATCACTTTAATATCTCTATGCATAATTCCTTTTTTATGAAGATAATCAATAGCCAAGCAAGTTTAGTAGAAGTATTTGAAAGCTCTAGCTTCATTATACTTAAAATCTTATAGAAAGGTTTCTGAAACGTTTTTATTGACTGCATAATCTAGAATTATATATATTGCATCTTTATTAATAAATGCATCATGCATTTTTATTATATAAGGATGCGATAATTCTGGATGGACTTTTACTTCTCTTTCAATTATCCTTTTATGGGTTAGTGTCTCAATGCTGCTCATCGGAATCTATAAAATTTATTTAAAAATTTAAAAAAATGCTCTAAGTAATATTTTTTAGATAGTTAAAGCCTTAAAATTTATATTGCTGTATATAACAAATATCATTACTTACTAGTTTCAAAGCATAGAGTTAATTAGTTTAAATATTTTTGATGAGCAGAACGAATCCAAAAGATCCTTCACCAAGATTTATTTTATTCCCTTGCTAATCAATAATAAACTGAAATGGCTGAGTATTTGTGAATATTCCTCTATTTTTTATATCTATATTCATTAAATTTTCAGCCCCATCTTATAAAAAAAGGTTATCGTTTCCAAATTAATTATTCATAATCCCTTCTGTAAAAAAATATTTGATAATATAAAAATCTTTAATGATTACTTTGATAATAAGCAAATTTAATAACTTCTTTATTTAATAAAGAATATTAAAAATTTATTCAAATATTGAATATCAATTTGGTTAGTAATTCTTTGAATATTTTTCAACTTAAATAAAATAGAATATTAAAACTTATAATTAAAAGTTATATTAATGCATCAAAAATACATACATATTTTTTTAAAAATCATAAGAAAATTTAAAATGCATTTTAATTTTCTTACATTCTAACATAATTTATTGCATTATAACATATATTAAAAATTGATACTTATATGGGTAATAATATATAATTATTTTTTATCTTATGTTCTGATATCTCTTTTTGAGATCTTTTATATGAGGTTAATTTTAATTTTTTTTAAATTTAGTGAATAATTGAATGAGTCTATTTTCTTTTAAAATACTACTCTTATTGATTTTTAAAATAAATTTATAAGGAAATATATTTTTCTTATCAAAAAATTTAAATTTAAAATTAATAAATAATTTTGCATGTTTTATTAAAAATATAATAAAAAAGCATAAAGTATTTCAAAATGAATTAAAATTTTTAAATTGAATTTAGAAATTAAATTTTAAAATTCTTAAGACGAGTTCATAAATTTATCTTACTTTATATATTTTAAGTAATTGAATTAAATTAACCTTATTGTTGAATAAAAGCTATATATTAGTTCATTAATTTCATAGAGCTAAGATTATAAATATTTTTATTTAATTTACACATAAATAAATTATATTGAATGAAAGATATTGAAAAACTTCTTCTTTGTTATTATTTATTTTAATAATTTGTAAAAATTTAGATCAAATAATTTTGGAAATTTAAATTTAAGATACATAGAGTTAATGATATCATCATAGAAGAACAAATATGATTTTCTAAATAAATAAAGATATAGTACTATAAATTGTTATAAATTTTAAATAAATAATAAATAAAATTTAGTTTTGTTGCATATGGTAATTGTATAAAAGTATTGATTGTTTGATTTATTTATTTATTTTTTTAGACTATTTTTTTTTAGGCGTTCAAATGTAATCTCTTTTCTCTAATTTTCTTTTACTGCTTAATTTTTTCTTTCTTTCTAAATCCTTGTTTTTAAATACATCAATAAGAAAATCTCTCTGATAATTGCAATAGTCAATAGATTATTTTAAATCATAATTATTCAATTTTAAAATATTAAAAACTTCCTCAGGTTTTCTAACTCCAAAAGCCTAATTCATGTATATTTCAAGTTTATTGTCTTTAGAAAGATTAAAATTATAAATTTAAAAACATTTGATAATTAATTTTGTTTACATTATTCTGAGTTTTTAAATTAAAGAAGCTAGTCTAAATCTTTGAGAACCCAGGTTTCCTTTACTAATTTTATAAAATTTCATAATTTATAAGAAATTAATTAATTAAGATAAATGATACCTTCTTCTATAGGTTTTATTTATGGTATTATAGCTTAAACTTAGCTTGAAACTAAGGTTTTATTGCAAGGAATGGTGCATCTACCCATTTTGAATAAATTTTATCTGAATTCTTTTTATCTTTGGAGCAGTTCTTCTTCTTCTACTTCTATAGCTTCAATAATAGGCCTTGATGTTATTAGAAATATTTGATTAAATATTTATAAAATACATGTATAAAATATTACCCCTCTTCTTCTTAAATAAATTTTAATGATGATTTTGTTTTTATGTTTTCAACTACATCTGTGTCATCTGAAGAAAAATTAACCTTAATAAATAAAATTTAAATTATAAAATTTGTTTGTATCGAAATTTGCGAAATTTGCTTCAAACGAAATAAATTTTGATTAAATCTCTCAATTTGTCTAACTTTAATTTGAATGACTTCTTTTATTTATTATGAAATTTATAGTTATAATGAATGGAAACTAAAAAGGGTTTTATTAAATTTTGTAATATTTAGTCAAAGAGAGAGTAGGTTTAATTTATAAATCTCACTTGATTTAACTGATTAAATGTTAACAAAAAAATAAAATAAAATTCTGAAATTTTTAAGCCTATGATTATAAAACTAGATAGCCTTATCTCAATTATTCAATACAAATTTAATTAGCATTTAATATTGTTTAAACCAATAAAATGAACAAAATTATTTGTTTAATATTTTTTAATGATAAAAGTTCTTCTGCAATAGTTTTTTTATTGACATTTATACAAATTTTATCAATCCCAATCTCAATTTTTAAACATTTTATTACATTTATCAATATTTTTTTTTTGAGTTAATTTTAGTTAGCGTAATCAAATAGAGGGGAAATTTTTAATTTCTATCTATCAATCTGTTTTTCTTGAAGAAAATTTAAATAATATATATCAAATTATGTATTTTTTTAATTAATTCTTTTACACTTTTAATAAGTAAAAATTTTTATTTATATTTTCCTTAAAAAAAATCCTATTCGTTTCTATGCATAGATGTAAAATTAGCTTTTCTTTACAAATTTTATTTATTTAGTTATTCACATTCTTTTGCATTTATTTCCAAAGCATTTTTCTTAAATTAATGCTCTAGCAGAGTTTTAGGCTCAATAATAAAATCATCCTTAATATCCGTATTATTAAATTTAAAATAATTTTTATTTGATATTTAGCATTTTTTGAAAGAATTTATTTTACTTTGCCTTTTAATTTAAATCTATAAATAAAATAGTTAATTCAAAGATGGTGGTGGGTGAAATTATTATTTTGATAAAATTATAAATAAATTTTTCTTACAAATTTTGCTTTTTATTGATTTTCATTAGAAGACGATTTACTGTTTTATTTTTAGCGCTTGCTTTCTCTTTCTCTTTCTTTTTCTTTTGTAACAGCATAAGATGAATTTACTGCACCATTTGTTTCAAAATTAGGATTTGGTAAATCTATAATATCAATTTCTGAATATTTTCCTTTTTTCCTTCTTGATGCCCCACCTTATTGATTTGAGTATTCATACAATACATTTTATTTTTTATAGCAATCCCAATCTAACAAAATATTAGCTTCTTTAAGTTATTCAATTAAGATTTTTTTCTTTTAATACTGAGTAAGAATTTAACCTTCTTCATCATGTTAATTTTATTCATTTTTTTATATTTATGACTTTTTTTTTTATAATTTAAAGTTTTGATCGAAAGATTCCTGTTTACTATCTTTATTTTCATGCAATTCGTTTTAAATTTGATCTTAAATAATATTAGTGATATGTTATTGCTATATTTTAGATTCCTAACCCTGCACTTCTTAATTTTCATTATTTAAAGAATAAATATTATTTTTTTAATCACTTTTATTCAAAAATTCTGAATCTATTGGTAGTTTTATTTTTTCATGATTTATGTCTTATATTATAAATGCATCTTAATCAGATAGCTCACTTTCTGTTTCCATATCATCTAGAGCATTAAAATTTATTGGATAGGCTTTAGATTCTAAATTTTAACTATTTGTCATATTGTTGTTTGGGTAATTAGCTACAAAAACCAGTTGATCATATCCGATACAGTTAATCTATTTATTATTAAACATGCTATATGTAGAGGAATAATATTCCTCTTCAGAAATCTATTGTAAGTCATCAGAATAGCTTTAAGTTATCATTTAATATTTTTATAAATGTTTAGTTTATTATTTTCTAAAATTTTATTTACAATTTATAATTTTTCTTAATTTTTGTAAAATTTCTTAATTTTTTTTTTAATATTTATTATTAAAATTTTCTTTCTTTTATTTATTTAAACACTAACTAGTAAAAAGCCAAATTTGATGATGAGTCACATTAATTATATCATATATTGACAAAATTTGAGTATTTTCCAGCATTTATTTTCAATTAATCCTAACTTATTTATTTCTTATATCTCAATTTCAAATTTCTTCTAATTTAAAAAATTATTCTCAACTCATTTATTTTCAAATCATTGAGTGGATTTTTTCAAAACTAAATAATTTATAAAAAAATATAAAAATGATAATATTAATTTTTTCTTATAAACAATAAATTTTTTATTGCTTAATTTAAAGAGCCTAAATATTCTTAGCATTATGAAATAACAAATAAATTTTCCATTGTTACAATTAAAAAATAAGCGTGTCATTTAAATTTCTTTTGTTTTTTAATTGATCATTTTACTTATTGTTCTATTTAAAATAAAATGTAATTATAAATATACTTTTGCAAAGTAATCAGGCATGTATAAGATAATACACATAAATGCATTTTTGTTGGAAACTAATTCATGGTAAAAAAATTGTGAAGCTCTTTAATTTATTCATTTAAATTTCTTATAATTAATTTATTTATAAAGATTCTGCGAAAAAATGTTTAGTTGAGCATTCAAGCATCTAATAATCACTCAATTTACCTAAGATATTTCTGAAAACAAATCTATATATGAATAAATTTTAATATTACAAATCTCAATTAAATTAATTAGAAGCAAACACATTTATATATATATATATGAAGCAAAAGAAATTAAAAATAAAGGGGAAAAACTTTTGTCACAAAAATAAAATTTAATAAGATAATCACTCTATAAAATATAGTAAACATATTCCTAAAACAGTAGTCAGAATAATGTTAATAAAATTTCTCATCAGTACAACTTCCCTTATATTTTTAAGAGTGAATCCATTCAAAAAATAATATTTTAGAAATTAAATTTTAAAACTTTCTTGAATTACATATAAATTTTTAAATTTCCTAAGTAAAAATGACTTAACATTTCTATTTTGTTACAATTTTATGTTAAGATTAATAGACTATTTACAATTTTTCAAATATATTTATTATTTTCTCTTTTGAAATAATTAAAATCAATAGGTTACAGTTTCTAAATTATGAACATAAGAAAAAAAAATTATGCAATTTGCCAGATTTTATTATTAATCTTTTCTATTTTTCCTTCTAAATTTTTTAAAATAGACACCTTAGTTAAATTCATTCAAAAAAATTTCTTTAATGTTACTCTTTTCTGTTGATTCCACTAAATTAAGTAAATAAGAGAAAATTGTTGTAACTCTAAAACTATTACCAACAAAAATAAAAAATATTTAAATAGCAAAGTTTACTCTGATATATTTTTAGATTAATTTTATAAATTTAAATGAATGTTTTTAATTTTTTTACATCTACTCAAAATTGTCTAAATGTAACTATTTAGAATAAATTTATTCTAAGGAAAGATTTAAAAGTAATAAAAAATTTTCATGTATCCTATCTTATGATATCAATTATTTATCATTATATTTGCAAAAAAATTTAATTTTTCATCAAAGTATTAAAGTATTGGCTTATGAATATATTTAGTTCATAGAAATATCTAGCATAAAATATGTGTTACTTGTATATAAAATAAACAAAATATTATTAATTTTAGTTGTAAATCATTTTTTTAAAAGTATTTTTAAAATAAAAAGCAGCTATTATTGTTGTTAATCTTTTGACACATTATTAATTATTTATTTTTGAATAATTATTTAGCATGAAATGTGAGTTTTTAAGAGTAATTATAAATTATAATTTTAAATAAAATCAACTATTCAACAATTAATAAACATTTAAACTTAAAATACAGATATTATTTTTTAATTATGATTTATTTAAGAATAAATTCTATATTTACTATTCTGTTTATACTTTGTTTAAAAGTAAGTCATATTTAAAAAAAATTTTATATTGATTGTACTTAGTTTTTTAGTGACTTAAAAAATAAAAACATAAATTCAAACACTGGGCAAATTAACAAAGTTTATTTTATTTTACTAAATGATTAATTTAAAAAATTTTTTTCATCTTAAAATAAATGGTGAATAAAAAGCACCAAATTTATTCAAAATTTTTTAAGTATGTTATAATTTTATTGATTTTGTTTCGAAAGAAATGATATTATCTTTTAAATTTACAAAAGTTTCAATTATAAAATTTTTTATTTTTTCATATACAGTATGGAATTTTTTAGGAATAAGTGTTTTTTTTGGCAGTTTAAGAAAATTTTGTTGATTATTTAAAGATATTTTAAATATAAAAAGTTAATTAATTGAAAAAAACAATAGCTTGAAAACAGAATTATATTCAAATTATAAATAAAATACCATTCTCAAAAATATATTTTAAAATCATTATTAATTAAATTTAGCAATATAAAATAGTTTTTTTATTTGAATCGATATCAATATGAAAAAATTTAGATTTCAATAAGATATGTTTTATTATCTTATTTAATGAGTTTTTTTATATAAACACAAAAAAAGGAAGCAAAGAAATAGATGTAAAGAGAGACATTTATATTGAATGCATGCTATAAATTTTAGATTAAAAAATAAATTATATGATAAACTTATAAAATTGCTACTTAATAGAAGTGGCATACTACAAATAAAAGGTAAGTAATTACTAACTAACTAATTATTTTAAAGAGTAATCAACTTTATAAAGGTAAATTTAAGTACATTAATATACAATCTGCTTTTATTAAGTATTATTTGCTGATTGATTCTATATTTTTATTGATCATAGGCAGAGAACGTGTTTATTATTAAGACCATTGTGTTCACCAACAATATGAGTATCAAGATAAGGAACTACAGGATCAACGAATTTAGGGTCCTTTTATTTTGCTAATGCAGAGAGTTTTTTCCATTTTTCTTCATTTTTGAGTCTTTCTTTGGTATTGTCATTAAGGAAAGCAAGGAATGGACCAGTCTTTTAGGCCAAAGCTTTTTCGTATGATTGGTAATCTATTTCTTTTAAGATAGTCTTAAGGGCAAGGAAGGAATCCTTAAGGATACGATGCCAGTGGTTATCAGCAAGTTAGGAGATAACAGGGACAAGGAGAGGGAATGTGTAGGCCTTAAAGTTACGAACTACATTCAAGAAGAATTCGTTTTCAAAGAAGCACATAGCTCTATCAGCAACTTGCAAATGTGAACCTGCAATACACTTAACAATACGCTTGAAGAGTTTAGGAATGATGTTATCAAGACGCTTGCAATCACAAACTTCAATAACTTCTAATAATTCTTACAAGAAGACGGTTTCTTTGGTTGAATTAGCAAAAGGCCAGTAACGAAGAATACCTTCAAGAAGAGGGAATGCAAGTGAAGGGTCTTTAGAGAGGAAAAGCATAGAGCAACGCATTAATTATTCATGATACAAAAGACAAGTTTAGACTTTGTGGAGAGGGATAATAACGTTTTTGAAGAAAATAACATGTTCTTCACGGAGAGGAACAGCGAAACCACTGATAATAGCAGCAAGAATATCAAGAAGCTCAGCTGCACCAGCGAATTTGTAGTTTTCATGAATCAAGGTGTAGAAAGAATCGTTGATAGCACGACGAATAAGCTTACGACGAGGAACAAGCTTAGCATATAATTTGTGGAGGATATTCTTCAAGTATTCTCTTTCACGAGGTTCTTCGCTATGGAATAATTCAAGATAATCTTAAACAAATGAGTGAGTAACAAAACCCTTTAACATTCTCACATCGATGGCTTCATTAACTATCAATTATAAGAAAAAGTCCAAAATAGGTTCAATGTGTACCCATTCAGGATTAACGTAAACTTCCTCATCTTCAGCACCAGGTTCTTTATTTTAAATAATTTATTTTAATATATTTTTTTGAAAGCTATCTAAAATGCAAAAATATTTTGGATAAGTTATAGATTTTCATATGAATTGGTGGGTGGATTGATGATCAAGTATTTGAAAAATTTGAAAATAAATAAATTTTTATTTTTAGAAATCTGTGTTTTATATTGCAAACTGCTTGATTGATTTTTAGTAAAGACAAATGCTTTAGATGCTCGTTCACTGGATTCATTTTTTATAATACTTTTTCGTTCTAAAACAGCAATTTTCTAAATACTTTTCAAATTTATTTTAAAAATTTAAACTGAACTTTTTATTTTAATTAGTAATTAGCAAGCTAAGCGTTAAATGGGCTTTACAATGGGTTTAAAAAGGAAATTTGCATTTTTATTTGCTAAATAATATGAAAAAGAAAAAGCAATTTGCTTTTATGAAGAAAATCAAATCTTTTGCAGTTTTATTCAAAAAATAAAGAAGAATTTATTTTTGATGATAATTCTTCATAAGTAAATAAATTATTTTTTATCTTTTAATTCAAAAGGCGCATCCTGTTATCAACATTTATTCAAACTATAATCGATATTATCAGTGAATTGTTAAGGATAGCTTTTTGTATGCTTATTTCATTTTAAATACAGACTCCTTTAACCGAAATGCTCATATTTACTGATTAAAAAATTTTTTATGAAAACTATCTAAAATAAGATGAATTTGCTACCAGTGATGGTTCCGTTATTTTTGAGGATAGGAAGAGGACGGAAAATATTTTTTTCAATCATTTCAATAATGAGATCAAGATGAGGAATAAATAATGATTGAACAGATGAAGGCTCGTTCAAGAGTTCGGAGAGCTCTTGCAAATAACCTAATCTTTCTCTCTTTTCCTTTTAATGCTTGTTATCATCATTTAAATCGTATTAGTTAGAGCAAAATTGGATTCTCTTTAAGAATTGATCTCTAATTTCCTTGGGTAATCTCTTGTGATCAGTAATCTTTTAAAATTACTAAGCAAGAGTCTTGTTATCCTAGGGCTTAGGTGCTGGCTTTGGAGCTTATTGAACAGCTGGCTTTCTGTTTTGCATTTCCTTTTTATTTTCTTATTAATAGCAAATAAATTAATTTAATTAATTGGTTCTTTTCTTTGGACTCTTCTTTCTTTGTTTTTATTAAGAATTTATAATTATTTATTTTATATAAATTAATCGTCTTACCCTTTTTATTGTTATTTATTTATTTAATTATTTTTTAATATTGTTGTCAGCTTTTTCTTTCTTCAAATTTTCCTATTTAATTACTAACTCTCTCTTTTCTCTCTTCCTCATATGTTATCATAACTATTTCTTCCCCTCCTCATCTGTTTTACAAATTATTGGTTGCATTCATTCATTTGTTATCCACTTTTAAAAAATCGATTCAAACATTTGTTCATCTGAATTCAGCATACAAAATGCACACATTTAAATAAATGCACCAAAATTTTATAATATTAAAAAAGTAATTAATTATAATAAATTATATTCTAGTTTAAAAATATAAAAAAATATGATATAATTATTTTACATATTTAATTTTAATGAATTGAAAAATAAATCAAATACTACAAAAATTCTAATATAATAATATGAAATAAAGTAAAATTTAAATACTTATCATTTCTGAGTTAATAAAAATTTTATTGATTTTATTTTTCTATATCCCTAATAATATGAAAATTTTAAATAGAAAATGAGAAAAATAATAAATAGTTTTTATTTGCAGAACAAATAAAATCAGTCTGACAAAATATACTAAAAAATGTTGGCAACAGTATTTTTTCTATATAAAACTTATATTTATCTTTTTATAATACATTAAAAGATTACTATTTATTCTCTATATAAATATATTTGATATTAAATTTATCAACAGATATTTTTTAAAATTATTTAAGTGTTCTATGTAGAAGTAAAGCTATTAGAATTAAAAAATAATATATTGAACAAAAATATATTATTTTTATTATTTTACTCATTTGACTATTTTTAGACAAAAAATATTTGTTTTTTAGATAATTAATTCAAAAAAAAATATATTTTTCTTTTGAATTTTTAAAAACAAAAAATATTTAAAAACACAAATAATTATTTTTAAATTTAAATCTCTTATTTATGAATAGATAAAATATTTTTATTGGGAATTAAATTTAATGAATGATTATCTTTATTTTGAGAAATCTCTTATATCTAATAATTTATTTAATTCATATCAACAAAAGTAAACTAAATTTTTAACTTTATTTCATTGTTTTTTTAAATTTTCTTAATTTTGAATTTTTGAAAAAAAATAAAATAAGGGTATTTGTATTTTAAATATATTTTATAATATTTGGAATAAACATATCATAAATACGAAATAAACTATTAAATAATAAATAAATAAATAATTTATATTTCAATAATTTATTACTGTTTTAAAAATAATTAACTTTATCTAATAAATTATAATTTTTAATTTAAAATTAGCATTACAAATAATGTATATTTTTTAATAAAAATCAGTTTTAAAAGAAAAATTAAAGAAGAAAAATTTTTTATTTTAATAAATTTATTTTAAGCATACTTAAAATATATTTTGTTATATTTATAAATAAACTTTAAAACAAATTAAAAAAATATATTTAAGCTTATTTGTTTCTTTATTTGAAGTTAAAATTTTCAATTATTAATAAATTTTCTTAAAAAATGTTTGAAATAATATTAAAAATAGTCGGGTTGGGGTTGGGGTTGGGGTTGGGGTTGGGGTTGGGGTTGGGGTTGGGGTTGGGGTTGGGGTTGGGGTTGGGGTTGGGGTTGGGGTTGGGGTTGGGGTTGGGGTTGGGGTTGGGGTTGGGGTTGGGGTTGGGGTTGGGGTTGGGGTTGGGGTTGGGGTTGGGGTTGGGGTTGGGGTTGGGGTTGGGGTTGGGGTTGGGGTTGGGGTTGGGGTTGGGGT